TACCATATGTATATATACGTCAGAGAATAAGTATCGAAGTTTTATTAACTCTGAATAGGTCACCAGATTCGACTATTAGGTTGCTACAGCCATACCATCAGCGTTAACATGTGTTAAGGTCTGCGCAGGCCGCTGAAAAGAGTATAAAGAACTGCCGCTTCTATTCAAAGCGACCTTGTAAGCCCTGCTCGTAAGCAGTATTAAGCTCATCTTGAACAAATGGATATCTCAAGGTATATACACGATTTAAAAGTGTAAGGCTAGCGGGCTTATCTGTGTACTCTGCTCACTGGATATGCCAGAATGAACGGTGTGTATATAGAATATTCTGACAACAATCTGGTAGAATACTGAAGCTGCTGTATGCGTATATGTTCATCAAATGTACTGCCGCGAGAGATGCATATGAGCTCACAGAAAATCATTTGTGTTGCCATTTTTGAAAAACTTGACCCCCAATTACATGTTACTACTAGTTGTAAGGAAAACGTAAAACCTTTTACATAGGCGTTTGAACGTAAATCGAAGATAACGAACTTATTTAGTACAAACGGCTGTCAAATATTTAAATAGGAGTAAAACAAACCGTCGTGTGTGGCTAAGAACGCAACTACTGTGCAACATACTTACTATTTACCTGACAGGGATACAGACGGAAAGCAGCCCATACAGACGCTTGTAGCACTAAATTTTATGGATACTATTCCCTGCAGAATCATTGCAAATGTTTATGCATATGACCTGGTAATACATATCAAATAAAATTCCTCTCGGAACATGAGAGCTATACAAAACGAGTTATTTTTTATAATGTGACAACAAATGACGAGCAATAAAGTGTTTGATAAGTATCCATATGCGCCGGGATTCACGACTATTGGCATCAATATATATATAAACTTACAGACTTCTCATAAATTCGTTAACTGTGTGACCTTTTGTGCGACGTTTACAAAAGTAGACCCCCGAAAGCATATTCAAAAGTAGGACGATAGCACCTACCTACATCACCTGCTGTGTATTGAGGAGCGTTTACGGGACGGGTCAGGGCAAGCGCATTGCTTGGCTTCTGCTGATCCTCCAAAGAACGCCTTATATAGTAATCCCTAACATTTGCCGGCGTGTTACATGTCTTTCCTCTGGCCAGATGTGTACGTAGCTGCCTCGCATTCGAGAATTTGAACTCATGTTTGCAATAGTTACACTTGCAAATCTCCTTTCCATCGACTTTGCGGGTCGTGAAGTGCTTCTCCTTTACTTCATCACCTTTGCGCGCCATGGCTGTACTTGTATATACACTAAATTACTACGTATACTGCGAAAACTGTGTTTACTGAGCTACCTGCACGCAAAAGTGATTTTTGACAATTTGTGTGCTTGTGTGTTGTGCAACGTATATCTAAAAACGTTGAAACGCTTTATGGAGCGGGACAAATATGAAATTTTGTGTTTCAATTTAGAAGGCTATGTAATTTCGCCAGAAATTTTTCATGAATAGCGCCATAGCCCGCCCATAGTTAACGGTTGAGTCCATATTTAAAAAATATAAATAGAATTTTTTAAAACGGTTGGAACCAGCCGTGAGCCGAACCACCGAGAGCGTCCGAGCATCCCTGATTCCATGCCCCAGTGCCCCATGCCTGGGCCCAAGGGCCATAGGTTGGTGACTTGACGGTTGAGTGATGAGTCACCCAGTCAGCTGTTTTTCTCTCCACTCGCCAGTCACCACTCATCACCTGCCAGCAGCGTAGTGACAAGGCTTAACCACTCCCCACGCGAGCCTGAAATAGAAGAAAGCTACATAATAAAATGAAATTTTGTATATAAAAATTATGGCCCGCTACTACTATTTACTACTACTACAACTCTCCTCTTTTTATTTTTATTTTAAATAAGTAGACCTCTCTAGTGTCTCTACTAGTGGTCCTCCACTCTCGCCCACTCTACTTTCTAAAAAATTCTAAACATGGGGTCTGGATTTGGGTCTCTGCTCTGTAAATTTACAATTTCGTCGTCCGAAGAAACCTGATTTCTGCTCGAGAGCCAAATACAGAAATCTACAAAAATTACACCGCTGGCGACAGTGGGAACTAGAAGCTTTTATTCTTGCGGGAGAGATTTTGAACTCCCAGAGACCTTTTTTGAAGTATTCTGACGATCTCAAATGCGCCTTTTTCCTTCACTTTTGTGAGGGATTATAATATAGCTTCGCCGCTCTCTCTGGCCCCGGGCCATGGAGAGGGGAACGGCCCGTGGGCCGGGGGGCGTGTGTGATGCATTTAGTGATGCATTTACATAAAATTCTTGCACATGTTCCCAGTTACATCATAGCCTTCGAAAATAAAACAGTTACATCATTTAAAAATATATTTGACATACAGTTGTGGTGTCAGATTTTAACACACAATGCAATACATTTACGAGGTTATGCCCAGATGAGTATCGCGTCGCTTATCATTGCATCCAAATATACACGTGTACTTGTTCGTGGTCCCCCAACGTACTACTTACACACTAGCAGGCGACACTTGCAGTGTATGCTATTTAGGCAGTCAGAGTTACAAGCGCACCATAAAAGAGCTGTGCCCTATAAGCGAGCACAGTTTATAAACACTCAACCACGCAAAAAGCTAGCACACGAGTTCGATTATTTACCCACGGCTGACGAAATGGATGCACAAGATGTACATGCACTTGCCGAAGATATGCAACGCACACTCGACATAAGCAATAATGACGATAGTTTAGAAGGCAAAGTAGCATGCACGTGTGGGAAAGGCGTTTCCCCGGTAAATACCAGCGGAAACAACGATTTAACTGATGCTAAACCGAAAAATGTTCTGCGTACACCGCTCAAGAGTGACTTTTCAGTAATCGATAAAGATGCGAACATGCCCAAATACACGCTACAGGTGGGTATCAAAATTATGATTGATTTTGTTTTAATTAATACAGCACTTCTAAATAAAGTTCGGCTCGGAGTCGACAATAAATACTCTCTAGTGTATATGTGTACATTCTCGAAATGTTTTTATATTATATATGCATATATACTTTTTGAATTAAGATTGATCACAAGTTTATATATATATGTATGTATATATATGTGTGTGTATGTGTATATATATATATATATGTATATATATATATATATGTATATATATTTAGATATGTATGTATATATTTATATTTATATATATATATATATTGCGTGTTTGAGTTCGTGTGTGTGTGTGTGCGCGTTGTTTTTGTTTGTTTGTTCGCGTGTTTCTGCGTTTTTTGGTATGTGTAGTTAAGTTTATATCTCACATATATATTTATATATATGCGTGTTGAGTTCGTGTGTGTGCGTGTGTGTGTGTTTTTGTCTGTTTGTTCGTGTGTTTCTGCGTTTTTTGGTATACGCTCACGTATATACATATGTATTTATGTATATATATATATATATGTATGTGTGTGTGTGTATATATACATATATACAATGTATATATATATATATGTATGTATGTATAATATGTATAAGTTTAAGTATACACATATCTAGTAAACGAAACTACTTGAGCGTGACTTTGTGTCTGTGATCACGACTCGTCCATTGGTCATAGTTCGCATTTGCTCATCATTCCCATTTTGAAACCAACAGGCAATTGGCACAATGGAATCGTGTTTCAAAGAGAAGAACGGTACTCCCAGACAAGGTTGGCTAGCGCCCATGTCGCGTGCTAAGCTAACACTACAATTACAGAACAATAAGAGCCACTCGCTAGAAGGCTTAGAAGGTAAGCTTGACGGACTAGTTCTGTCTGTATCGCTCCTTATAGTTGGATCATATGGCAATGGCGTGTTCAACACTTGTGAACGACATACTCTTGGATTGAGAGTATCTCGCCGTTCGATCTTGCTGGCTCGGCTATGCGCCATGTTTGTATATGACAATGACTGTGTGTGGCGGACCCAAACGTTGTATGCCTGAGTTGAGGTTTCAGATACAAAATAGGTGCTGATGCGCACACTATAAGAGTGTATCGGCAGTCACCAGTCAGGGTCGGTACGTTCGTGCTTGTGTTTGCAAGGTTTTTGCTTGCTCCTTTTTCAAAGTGCACATATAAAAATGGAGATGGCTATAACTCAAAGCAATTATATTTTGGTTGACATTATTACAGATTTTTCGCATATATGGCTGATCTTCATGTTCTCATTAAACAAGGCTTCCAAGCCGAAATACAAAGTGCAACCGCCACGACTAGATGGTGATCGCGTGGGAGTCTTCTCTACGCGTTCACCCCACAGGCCGAATAGCATCGGCATTACGTATGTAGATCCATGTATGATCTGGAATCATTGTTCTCATCCTTTTCGTGTCTATACGCGTGCTTCGTTTCGTTGCTCACTTTTTTCTCAAACGGTTGATTTCGGGAGGTCGCCTATAAGTGCCAGGGAGACCTCTTCTCGATACCACAGTATTTTCTATCGTTAGCGAAAGTGCTTATGCAATTGCGCGTATGCTTACTCGTTTACAGATGAATCGTGAACATTGATGTAGCCTGGACGCTCATAGTGTATAGTCTTATTTAAACTTCCATAGCCTGGCCAAAATCGAATCCATCGATTTTAAGGAGGCGACAATACATTTGAGCGGTATCGACCTGGTGGAGTCGACCCCTATTCTGGACATCAAGCCCTACATTCCAGACCACGACAGTATTCCAGGGGACGTTAGTATACCTGATTGGATCACAGCGCCGAGTATGTTTAATGTTGGATTTCTGAAATCATCTACTTGCACATCATTTGCTAGTATTAAAAATTCTGCAAGCTGTACTGCTCCGAAACCACCATGCTTTTCAATGGAGAAAGCTTGCTATTCAGTGATTGGGAGAAATTATTTCGTGTGCACTAGCCAGACATATGTTAAAAGTCTATCTTAATATACGTCTAGACCTTAAAGCTCTAGGCTGCTTGTACTTGTATAGATTTTGATGGATTTGCAAGATTTAATCGGTAAACACGTGCGAATTCGTTTCGGATTAATGCCAACGAACATATCTACATGTATACACTCATATATTGCACATATATTTACATACACAAGTACCTGAGCATTCAATTGCGCTTTATACACACATGACAGCCATCACAGATACGTGGGATGTGGAGTATTCACCCCGAGCCGATCACCAGTTGGACGAAATTTTAGCACAGAAAAAACTACAGTTTTATAAGGATGCGGACTCGATCAAGACGTTGATCAAACAAGTTTTAGGTAAGTGAATTTCGTTCTCCTTGTGAAGGCTCGTATATGTGCACGATTGTATTGTTTTGGTTTTTAACCCCTATTCTAGTTCAAATTTATTGGATCAAATGTGCTCGCATTTTTATTCTATATGTCACTTTGTTGACTCGCTATATGTTCTATAATTGATAATTGAAAGTCTCGAAAACGTTATAAACACGGAATTAAGGCTATATGTCTATCCACTATATTTTTTGGTTTTCTTCGAAAGCTACTGACTCACATAAACTATTTGCTTAACCTAAAAAATTCATCTATATAAATTTAATCTGAGCAGCCACTGAGCCTCGGAGTATGTACAGGCGAATCAAAACTCGCAAATGGGATGATGGACAATTTGGCTTTTGTGTAGATATCCTCAATGTGATTGCCGTGTATAGCGATGACGACGACAGGGTGCGCATTATTGAAATACAGGATTGGTCAGACCACTATACCAAAAAGCGCACAAAATATGTAGCGGGATAAAGCCTCTTTAGTAATCACTATCGTATTTGACATCATTGTTCTATCGCTGTTGTTAGTGAAAGTCGCGTGGTAGATAAGTATATACTTTTATTTTATCGTGTAAACGTACATTGTTTTCAGATTTGTGAGTAAATACGTTGCCAATCTGGAATGCAGGCAGTATCGCGGCCTATGGTTGTAAAAGTGCGATGTGCCTTGGCCGTGTTCGTGGCTGTCTCGTAGTCCCACGTGTATACCTGGGTGTTGACTTCGATGGCAGAAAATTTGGTCGTCAAAGAGACAGCCCCAATTGCAAGAGCTATCCTGTGGATGCCGCCATATCTCTGCCACCTTGATAAGAATCAGGAAGTAATATGGGTCTGTATCGAAGAAACTCGTACTTTTGTACATTCACAATATCGCAGAAACAAGTTTTGCAGCAGCAGACCAGGAAGTTATGCCAAAGTAAATGCCTAAATACTGTACAAGTGTGGACTTAATTGCGCACCGATATACTAAACCTCGGGTGGCGCTTACCGTGAGATTTTGTATGATAATTTTGCCGCAAATGAGTCAAACCTGCCAGGGACGTCTAGCAATGTGCTTTTACACACAAATATTTCATTTCACGTGAAAAGACATTTCGTACTTATCTAACCGCCTCGTTTAGAGCAAGAAACACATGCTATACCTGTCTTATTTCTGATTAAAAATCAATTTTTTTTTAATATGTACTTCGAATGCACAAATATGCCTAGCCTTCTATACTTAATTCGGAAGGCAATGAAATTTATTTCAAATATATGTATATGTGCGTAACAGGCAATAGAGCCTTTAAATTGATGTACGCATATTTTAAATAAAAATATAGTAAATAGCAGGCTCGAGTACCAATATATAGTTATACGCGTATTTCAGATATGTATATGAACATAGACCAATATATGGTTAAACGCATAATATAAATTTGTAGATGTACATAGATCAATATATGGTGATACGCATATTTCAAATATGTACATGCACATAGACCAATATATGGTTATACGTATATTTCGAATATGTATATAACAGCAGTGAGCAGGTATTATAACCAATAATTTGGATATATACTCTTTAGATTTTATCGAATAACCTGGCCCTCTGGAAGTATGGATAGAGATTAGAGCGCCTCTGCTCAGTGCTAAATTTACGATTGTGTCGTAGTAAATAGAGAGAAACTTGATTCCCGCTTGTGAATCAGACCCATCTTGATATTTATTTTTTATAATATTTCGAGATTTGTTAAGACTGCGACCACTATGACTGCGACCGGATCTTGCGACCACTATGCCTGCGACTCTCGCCTGCGACCCGTTTTATATCTGACGCTTTCTTTTTTTAGGGTTTTAGGGTTTTAGGGATATAAACAAATACATCTATCATAGCCCCCTGAGAAAAAAAGAGATCAGTTGTTGATTATTC